AGGTGCGAGTAACGATTCTGCGTATGCACATACGTACTCACGGCAGAGTCAATATCTGCTCGATCCTTTCTCGCGAGTTCCCGTGCAAAATAACATTTAGCGGACCGATTACAGTTTTTTAATCGGCCAATTAGTTCGTTTGCTTTTGAACAAACGGTCTGTTTGAGAAAGAGAACAAAGTGCGCGAGGATCCGTGAACGATGGCTTTCGAAACGTCGCTAGCTATAAATAATACACTCGGTTAGAGCCAGTCGACTGCGACGCACGGTGAGGTTCACTGAACGCATTAACGAAAGTCACTAACTCTTTTCCGTGTTCTGCTATCATGCCGGAGAGCAACAGAGTTTGCCGGTGGCGTGTATAATAGCCGCTATTCCGATCGCGAGAACTCAAAGTGAGCGCGACCATAGACTCGACAGATCGGCGCTCGCGCTTTATTTCGCTAATGTCTTTTCGTTCTGCTTCGTTTCCATGCTGCATTTTTTTCGCGCGCGCGCGCACCCGCCCGCCGCGATTTCATCATTTTTCTTTTCAATGGCGGTGACTCACTGGAAATTAATCGCTCGGAATGGAGCTTCAATTGATTTTATCGACACTCTAACCGCGTCGCTGAGGTTTTAACGATCGAAAGTCTATTTATATATTGATTGTGCTAAAATATTTATGGATATTGCCGAGGCATACTTATTCGTGCATTCACCAAATGACAAGCTTGCGATATCGTTCGAACGACAAATTATTTACAGCTCAAACCAACGGAAAACAGGGAAAATCGCAATTTCTTTCTTCAATTTTCATTTGCAAATTGAACTTTGTCGAGCCTGTGCGTTCCACAACGACGAAGAAAGGGCAATCATCGGTAACATCGTAAACCAATCTGTCGATAATTTATTTGTCATTTACTCGCGTGTAGTGATAAAATAAAATAAAACTCAAGGGAAAATAACCGTTTGCATATTTATTCGCCACGAAACGAAAATATTTTTAAATATAACGAGGGCCGCCGCCACCGCGTGACCCACCTGACAAATAAGTGCAGAACAAGAGGGAACAAATGAAATAAACACAGCCGTGCGCGTTGTATTTCTCTATCGTGCACGCAGTAATTCACATCAAATGAATTATAATTACAAGGCCCGTGAGCATTTATGCCGCTGATTGCCGGCTGAAAAATCGTTTCCAATTAACCGTGCAATTACACCGTTCTCGCTGACGCTGAACCGTTTTTTTGTTGTTGTTGCCCTCCCTCCTCCGATCGCTGAAAAAAAAAAAAAAAAAAAAATAGTCAGCTCTCAAAAAACATGACTCGCTCGATTCGCGTGTATATAGGAGGGAGGAAAAAAAGTGCGCCACGATACACAAAGCAAACAATCGGGCGAAGGTAGGGCTGATTTATTGCGCAGCTCGGTCCTTACTTGAAAATTATACATTTCCAGCGAGGCAGGTATTTTTTGGATGTTTACGCGCGTCAACAATGAGCCCGATAATCCAGCGCGAGAGCACAATGTTTGGCTTATGATTTCCGTGCCCCCCCCCCCCCCGCCTTTCCAAAAAAAAGAAGAGAAAGATGAAAAACTCGCTCGCGGGGATATAAACTTTATCGCTTCGATAAAATAATTAAAGTTACGAGTTGCCAGAGCGGCGCTGCAGCTTTATCGATTATACTGTTTTCACGCGCGCGTATAAATTTTAACGCGTTGTTGCTGTATGATGAATTTCATTAAGAGCCTGGGCTTTCATTAAAGGCCCCTCTCTCTCTCTCTCTCTCTCTCTCTCTCTCTCTCTCTCTCTCTGTCTGTCTGATAATCATTCGCACATAGAGCGCGGCCGAAAGAGAAATAATGTTGCTTAATTAATTTCTGCGCGCTGCTAGGCATTCTTCAGTTTATAAACTATTCATCAATTTTGTTGAGTTCGACAGTAATTAGTTATACAGCGTGTAACGCGAAATTTCGGCTTTCCCGCTCCGTTTGCTTTCCATTGCATTCGTATTCCGGGGAGTTAATTATATTGTTAATTATAGCATTTAGCCTCTGACTTTTTGTATTTAACATCGCACACCGAAAATCGTTATAATATTTGACGGTTTATTTACATGCAAACAAATTTCATGTATATGAAATGTCCGTGAATGTAAATTACGTACAAAGTCGCCATAGCACTGCATTTATTGGGAATTAACCGTCGGTGGGCAATACGAAAATATACCTCTGGAAATGTGTCAGACAGCGAATTTCCGGTGGCGCGGCAAACATATCAAAATAAATAATTGACAAGCTTGTCCGCTCGATAAATTATTCCCAGTGCATCTCGCTCTTACACGGAAAAATTCTTCTTCCAACAGCCTGCAGCAACAAGAAAAAAAACACGCTCCATCTGTTCAAATATGAATGCACTAACTCGACGAGAAATTAGTTTCCCGCGCGACACGAAAAATTGATTTGATCGTGTCTGTCGCGCCAAGTCGAGACACACATACACACGTCTTGTTAGCACATGGCACGCTCGAGGATAACGACTTGAATTGTATTAACTAACACGTCCATTAAACTTTGCTCGCGCGGAGTAGAGCTACTTGTGTAATTTCGCTCTGATTTGCACGTAAATATAGCACACCCGAGCCACCCACAATTAGGACCGATAATAATAATGCATTCGTCAAAAACTGCAACACACGGCGAGCGCGCCATAAAACGCTTTTTGGCACTGCAGCGCGCGTCACTTGAAATCGAATTACTTATCACGTTTGTTATCGGGCCTCTACTCGACGAAAGAAAAAAGCTCGCTCGGCATGTAGAACACGAGCGCATTCGAATTATTATGAAAAAATCCCTGCGACGTGATTCGTCAAAAGATACATATATATTTTTTTTCGATTCGGAAAAAAAGGAGCAAACGGAATTGAAAAACAATCAGGTCTCGACTGTCGACGCGCCCGGCAAGTTGGAAGTGAAATAAACTCGAGTAAAAACAAATTGGCAAAGAAGCAAAATGAATCCTGATGCATGCAAGTGTGGGCACGAAAAAAAAGACCAGATATATCTTGGGTAACACAACTGCGAGGAATCTGTTAAATGAGTTTTTCCTTTCCATACCTACGCGGCCATATATACATATCGAAGTATATCGGCCTCAGTCTGTCCGCGCTCGCTTATAATACACTGGCTGGCTATAGCGCGCAGTCGGGCGGTTTCGGTCGCGCATGTGTGCGAGCGAGTGCGCATATAATAGCGTTGTATACACACGAGCCGCGAAGCATGACAATGGCCTTTTCTAATCCTTGGTTGGATTAAGGGCCGTTTCTCTCTTGGCAGGCTGGTCAGCAGCAGTGCTCCGACTCGTCAGGTAATGGGATCGACGTTTCGTTATGTTACTTTTCCATTCTCATCCCTCTCCTCTCTGCGCTTCCTAGGATTCACGAAGCGAGTGAGAGAGAGAGAGAGAGCGAGCGCGAGTTGGCCGCCTCCGTGTTTTTCCCCATGTAGCCCCCTATTTTTCATGTTTCGCTGCGGCTTCGCGTAGCACCTTCATTCCATGGGGGGACTCAGTCGGCGCGAGTCCGCGCGGACCGAACGAGTGCCCGTCAGCGCTCTGACTGCGCCATTGGCTGGAAGCGCAGCTGCCGGGTGGGGATGGGCGCCTAGCGGTTGGCCAAGTCGCGGCTGCGATTGGTCGGCCGAGTCCGCGCGGACTGTCGCTGCAGCGATAGCGGCAATCAAGTAGGAAACTGCTTGGGACTGTGTGCTGCGCGATATTCACATAGGGGCTCTACACAGCGCGAGCGAGGGAGTGACTCTACACACACAGACAGAGAGCGTCTCTACTCGAACTGCTGAGCTGCCGCTGGTATATATCTACCACCCGCTTTGCTTCGCGCACACATTAAACTTGTCTTTTGTATGTCGGCGTGTGTGCGAGTGAGTCTCTCTCGGGGGGCTTTTACGCGTGTTGGTTCACCCTCCCCGCGCTTCGGCGCTGGCGCGAGCATTGCGCCAACACGAGCAGCCGTTCAGCTTCTCGCTTCGCTCGCTCCTTCACTTTTGCTCGTCGCGCGCCCGCTCTCTCACTCTCTCTCTCTCTCTCGCTCTCTCTCGCATGAAGGGGTTGAGGAAATAGCGAGGCGCCATATTTGTGGCATTGCCGAGCTCTAGCGAGCGAGAGAGAAATCACGAGAGGGGAATTACGTCAGAGAGGTATAGATAGAGTTTATGCGGACATCCGACGGCCATTTTGCGAAAAACTTTCGAGTCCCCGAGCTAATGCGCGGTTAAACGACTCCCTCTTTCTTCCGAATTTTCAGGCGGAGGCCTGCCAAATATATTACTCTGCCGCGCTTGTATAATTGAATGCGATTTTTACAGCTCAAGGTGAAAATCGTAGCCGAAGCGACGGCGCGAGCCAATTACCGGGGAATTTGGAATTAGCCAAACGAGCGAGCGGCAGAGAGGGAGAAGAGTGAGGCGCGAGCACACGATTATTCGTATACGTATACGAGGCGTTCGTGCGTTTAATAAGCACGTCGCGCGCGCTCCTCGCTGTGCGTATGTCTCCGTGAGTATACGTATATGCATGCGTCACGCGACATTGCGGAGATCGTCGTCGTCGAGCTAGTCAATAATGTGTACAACATCGAGCGCATGTCAATTATATCGTTGGCTATTCTTTTTTCTCCTTTCGAAATTCCCGCACTCTCCGGACAGATAGAGAAATAAATAGTATGAGCTAGAGAGAGAGAGTGCGAGAGAGAGACAATTAGAGAACGCGACACTGGACGAGAGAGAGAGAGAGCGAGAACAAAAAAAGAAGAGCGTCGGCGGCGTAGTTAGGGGTGTAACGGGGGCACGGAGACGTGAATATCGCCGCTTGCTCGAGTGAGCGAGCGAGCGAATGGGAAGGAGGGGAGAGCGGGGGGAGAAGCGTAGAGTAGAGAGAGCGGGCGAGACTGTTCGGAGTTGCCCCCTCTACCGTCAAGCCCGTCAGTCGTTGCGAGGCTAGCGCCGAGAGAGGTTCGTTTTCCCTTACGCGTGGCTTCTGATCATCATCATCCACAGTATTTTGAAACAGTTTTGTTGATTTGAATTGTTGCCGTCGTGATCGTTGCTGTGTGTTAGTGTTCAAAGCCTGATAGAGAGGCTCTCTAAGTACAGTGACAAGTACACCAAGTGATCAATTGGTGTTGTCGCCGCCGTATTTTTTTCGATATCCACACGTTCGAACGACGAAGAGCACGCGAGAGAGCGAGAAAGAACATCGAGCCGAGTGAACGAGCGCGTCTGTCTGTCGGTAAAGTCACGTGGCTGCATTGCCCGCCGAGCGAACGACTCCTTTTTTCGGATGGCGTTCCAACAGCCGCGCCGAGTAGGCAGAAAAAAGTGCTCGTAGAAACAGCACCATTATAGGCGCAGAAACAAAATTGTTTATTGCATATTGTGTAGTTTGTCCAGTGTTTAGGGTACGACTATGAGTGACGGAGTGTGAGTGTTCCCCGCCAAACCATCCTCACGTTTGTGAACGATTTGACGTTGATATTTCTTCTTGCAAGTGTTAGCACCATACAGGCAACGTGTTGTCGGCGAATAAGAAGAAGCGGTCAGAAGAGAAAATGTACCCGAGCGCCGGAATGAATGCGGCCGCCGTGGTGGCGGCTGCAGCTGCCAGGCATCCGGTAAGTGCTGCGTGCCAGAGGCAACACACAAAAGACCCAAGTGAGAGAGAAAGAGAGAGAGATGGGGGGGGGGGGTATAATCGAATATAATGCCGAAAGAGAGAGAAGTTAAATGCGATTATAAAGCGGAGAGGCCACGAGGCGTTCGAGTGGTAATTAATGGCTTTTATTGGCCCCCAGACACGTACACACACATATACAGGAGATGAAGTCAGCGATGATTAAAGTTATTGCCCGCGTCGCAGCTGAGATACACTGATTGCTCGTCTACGATGACGAGCTCCGAATTGTTTTGTTGTGCGCCGGGAATTGTGTCAATTTTGACCTGTTGAAAGTTTGACGATGGATGACAATTGCTTCGTTAAGAGATTTTTTTTCAAATGTCATTTTTATGTTGACGAGCCGCACGATGCGACACATCATTCGAGATGTAATGTAGGCCTCGTAAACCTTGCGTTTAGCCTTGTTTTTACGAATCATCAATTCGCCAATGAAAAAAAAAGAATGCCGTTCTACGACTTGTTTGTAAAAAACACTCAAACCGGGTTAACGACATTATTATCTACAATTGTTTTTTTTTCTCTTTAATGCTTGGCATTAACATCCAATAAGCAAGTAACTTATTCCATCCTAATTTATATTTTTAACTTTTTATTTGCTTCGTCGTTTTCGACGGAGACATAGCTTTACGTAATTTCTTTTTCAAAGATCGATAAAAGTCTATTTTCTTTCTAAAATTAGCAGTATTGGCTCAAAAACATACTTATCCAAAGTCTATGTATAATAAAAGATCGTAACTCGTCGGTCGAATGTCCAACATTGACTCAACTTACGTAAGGCTATTTATTAGTAATTGAGGAAATGTAATTGGCGATTAACGCAGAACAAACTTGAAATTAGATGACCGATTCGAATATATTTGTTCAAACAATTTAACATTGCTAAATTCCAGATGTAGTTATGACCTCTCTTGTGCATAATTAAACGCTCCACTAATATTCGTTAAACAAACACAACAAACATAGGACAAGTGCCCTATACATGTACATCCATTATGTATGTATATCCACTCTCTCATTCTCTCTCTCTCTTTCGATAATAAAAGTTGCCGAACCTCACTCGAAAACTTTCTCCTTGTATTGTGTATGTTATTAATCGTTGTATATATTTCTATATATGTAAACACACGCACATGGAAAGCCACCACGTGTAGATATTACGCTTGCTGGGCTAAGCCAATACACTCTGAACCGGCTGTCATGCGCGTCGCGCATGCGTAATTCTGATGTCTCCCTATTTATCGTCACTTTTTATTCGAAATTCTATTGATATCTCAATCATTAATGCGTGAATCGGCGATCAAAAGAAATTGTAAAAGGAATAAAAATTGAAAAGAAAGAAAAAAGTAGGCAATGCAAACATGGCTATTTGACATTCTTTAAATAAACGTTTACTCAAGTAACAATGTCATATAGCGAGATATTTTTTATTATAAGCCAATAGCGCGACAGTGACTGATAGCATGTACGTTTTATTATCAGCGTCGAATAATGCAAACACAATCAGACATATACATGCGTTCAAGCTATATTGTTGTAATTGATACGCAACAATAAAAAAAAAAAGAAAAAAAATTCCGATTCTTCAGGAAAATTTTGTCTGTCGTGTAATTGAGCTCGCGCGACAACAGCATTTACATGCTAATTCGATGTGAAAGCTGACTAATGCGGCACTTTCTCGCTCGCAGGTAGTATGGCTAATTAAACGATAATCCAATGCATGCATTATGTAAGTATGCTGTATATATGTTCAGAGGCTACGCGTTTAACTGAATTGAATCATAATGTATTTGATTTGACTCATTTCAACATTTTGCGTTAAATTATTTTTTTTCCAATGAATTCGAAATGCGCTCGTTATTTTTATTCTATAGCGCGCGTGCAAGGGTTTCTATCGATAACGATCCCTAAACGTCACCTCGGATTGAACATCTGTCCCAACATTGACGTATCATTAAGATCTATAAATTCGTCCTTGCGCGCAATCTATTATATGATTAAACAATGTATCGTGTGTTAATGTAGCTGTCGAAATGTTATTTAACCAATGAATGTTACAAGTGTCAGGATCACGGCGAATCATAAAAATTTGTCCATAGGCATCGTGCCGCTTTTTGAAACAGCCACGTTATTCCAAAGGTAATCCAAGAACGGACAAACAAAAAACAAACGAGAAATAATATCCTAACGGTACTTCCCGCGATTGGGGAGTATAAGTAAGTAACGTGATCCTCGTGCAAACATCCGAAAATCCGCAGGCGGTGCATGAGTTTCGGGGGTAACTCAATCTGGATCGCACCGTACCCATATACATCCCTATATAACCATGTGACGCTCACTCGCCTATCTCTTCTGGGCGGGCGCATAATGCCTGCCGCGGGCGCGCCAAAGTGGCCGACACGTGTCGAGCGCACGAGGCACGTACACGCACGTGCCCCCGACTAGTGTGTGTCTGTATAGGCGCCTCGACACGATCATCGTCCACATGAAATTGCGCTCTCGCTGGCGGAGGCAGCAGTTCGCGGATTTTCGATAAGCGCGAGAGAGAATCAAGGGGAGGCTTTGGGAACCTAATGAGCGCCAGATATTGCTAATTTTCCATGAACTATTGGTGTGTACTTGGAATTCTGGAGCACGAGTAATATTGTTGATGAATTATCGTATTGCAAGTTTCACGGAAATGTAGATTTATTTTCGAGCCGCGGGTATACAGAATGCACTTCTACTCTCTGAAAATTAAGGCAATTTCATGCCAAATTACATTTGCAGCATAATTACACAGCAATTTTGGAACAATTTTCACTCGTCGGAAAGATTCAAATTAAAAAAATAAAAGGACGAAGAATAGCAGTTTGTAATAAATGCTACATCATAAACTTCAAAAAAAGGCCAAAGCAAATGCAACACACACACAACACAGAGCTGGCAGTTCAAAGCCACGCGGTGTATAAATCAAGACTATATCCAGGCTTATCTGGCGTGTAGCCGAAAAAAAGCAGTTCATAAGATCGTCGGTGCAAGATATGTACAAAGGGGGAGTCGGCGGCGGCGGCGGCGGCGAAGAGAAAGAGGTCGTTTTGCGCGCACGCCTGCGCTTGCGGACACTGCATAATCGGCAGATAAAGCCTCGGAGATACAAACGCGCGACCGTGATCGCGATGAATAGTGCGGATTACTCGGCGCAGTGGAGCGCATCGTCGTCGCCTCGCTCGCCGTCGCTTCTACGTGTGTATAACGAGTGCATGCATGCAAATTGCCCGTGAGATTTCTTTAATGTCTTCGGGGACAGGGGGGGGGGGAGTGTGCGTGCAGAGTGGCTCGCGCCGATGAATTTTCAAATGCCGCAATGGTTAATTGGGATTCCGACAACGAGCGAGCTCAGCCGCGAAACGAGCAGAAACAAAAGTTTGGTTGGATTCGCAGTGCAGAACAGAGCAGTCATCGACAGCCGCGCGCAATATTTGCGAACTCGTGTTGGTCCCCGCGCGCGCCGATGAAAAATTGAACGTTAAACCTCGAGAGCTACAGCCGGAGCGACGATGATAAAAAAAAAAAATCACGCGCAATCGAATCGGTGAGAGTCATTTTTGCCCGGGTAAACATCGCACGTGCGCGGACCGCGTAGCGCTACAATAACGATAAAACCGAGTCAATATCCGTTCGTGCCCCTGCACAAAATTACTCGCTGCGTCGTCCCCCTCCGCGTGCCGCTTTTATATACTATGGAAAAAACATCGAGCGACAGGGAAAATTAAACGGCCTCGTCCGCGTACAAATAATGATTATGGTAATAATAATGTCGACGCTTGGGGGTCTGCTACTATGTAGGGTCGACAGCGACGTTCGGTCGCACCCCTAAACGCGCGCTGCCCGATGCGCGTGCGAGAAAAAGAGCTGTTACGCCTCGCTCGCTGTGGCGCTCTTTTTCTCACCCCACTTCTTGCGACGGTGCGTGCGCACACCTTTTTTGTTTACCGCTGGGATTATGCCTCTTGATGCTTTGATTTCCAGAGAGGGGAGATTCAATGTACTGCTCTCTGGAAAAACTAAGTGCTAACCAACTGCAGTCCCCCTTTACCCTTTTTTAACAATCTCGATTATATGTGCTTGGATAGAACAACTTGCATGAATTCGTGCATGCTTTGTACTCTCTTTGTATCATAAGCTTATAATTGCAAAAAATGACGTTGCATAATAAATGATGACAGAAGGTAATCTGATTGATAGTATTTTTTTGGCGGGTTATAATAAACCTGTATTCAGTTTTGCCGACCGAACTATATGAAAAGTTTTTCAAACAGCTTGGGCTTGTTATTCAAAGCATATTTGATAAAAACATTGAAAAGTTTTAATAAATACCGAAGGATGAAAGTGCTTCGAGTTGCTTACTCATTCCATACGCGTCGTATACTTGGTCGTACAAAACAGCAGCATCGCAATAGTAATCGATATGTCTTATAGTTTATCTAAATATTTCACTTAAAAGTATAACTTTGTGCGTAGGCCTCATTGTAGTAGATTCTTCTTTCAAAAGACAAACAAACTTGTCGCGAAGTAAGTATAGTATAGCATCGATCATGAAGGTGAAGAGTTAATAGCAGTAGTGCTGTGCACGCATAGCGCCGTTTGCTGTGTTGATTCAAATGATTAAACATCAGAAAATGGATAGATGCTTGTCCACAACGTGAGCCCAAGGTTGGTAAGCAAAAAAAAAAAAAAGAAGACGCAAATGCGAATAAAGGCCAAAGTTGTGAAACTCTGACTTTGTACAAGAAAGTGTATACACACCGGTGTCATGCAAAAGATACAGAAAATAGAAGAGAAGAAAGGGAGAAGTAGGCGGCAGCAATAGACAGCAGAAAGAAATGAGAAGGCGATTTGGGTTTGCACAAGTTCCTCGTCTATTCGACAAATATTGATACTTTTAATCGGCCTGTTTAG